TACAACAGAAGATGAGCACGGGAAAAGACATTGGATTGATTCATTGAACAAAGTTTGTAGATTCAAAATAGATTTAACGGAAAGTAAAATTGATATTAATGAAAAGGAAAATCAACAAACTGTGGCACTGGTAAAAAAGAATCAATCTAGTAGATCTACTCTGAATAAGAAAAGTGAAAATAATTTTCTAACATTAAAAAGAAGCTTCTTGAGACAAAAACGAGACAGTATTGATTGTACTTAATATTACAAATCTTATACTCGCCAAGATTAGTTTTGATATGAAGTTTTTATATTCATGTATTTATATAGAAATTTTATAAAATTTTGAAGTGCTTCAGAGTATTATTATATTAAAAACAATTTTGTGTGTATCATATTCAGAGATTACATTCCATTCTTAAGTATAACTACAAAAAATGTATATTTATGATAATACATGTACTTATGTATGTATTATTTAAACATTTTAAAGGAATTAATACTGACTTCAGATATATAAATTATATATATACACATATATAATCAAATAATGGTTAATGTGTTAATGTGAAAGTAAGGGACACAAACGTTTTTATACACGCTTGTGAAAGCATGAACTAAAAAATATGTACAAAAATATTTCTAAGTTTAAAGAAGCAGATTTATGTATTGTAATTAGATCAAAATGTGATTCTATCGCTCATTTTAAAGGCAGTTTGTATATTGTATATATTTATGTACACATGTATTTTACAATGAAATTATTTTGTTAAAAATATCTTATACTACAATACAAATGTAAGAGCTGGAAATCCATGTTAAATCTTATGGAAAATGATTTTATTTTCATGATATTGTAATAAAATAACAGTCCCCTTATTTTGTAATATTCTGAAATACTTGTTATGGTTTAGTAGGTTTCATCGAGTTTCCATCCGGATAACGCTTTTTAAAAGCTTTTATGAGTTGCGGATCTATCAGGTGGACACCGTCTACTTGATTACCTAATGTTATCCAATTAGGTTGAACATTATGTGGTCGTCCAAATAATTCAATTTTCCTTGTTCCTGGACTCATACGTTCGATAATTCCATAAATTTCGTCAGGCTTATGACTAGTAGCACGAACTTCGGCTACAATAACATCGCTATCCAATCCTCTATTGATTCTTGGATTTCCTTTCATCCCAACCAAACAATGTTCCTTACCATGGTTTAACCAGTGCCCTGTCCTGCCTGTTCTTATTATCCTTTGTAATTGATTTGTTTTGACCCATATAATCTCATCAACTCTTTCGTATCCCCATAATTGCAAACATTCTCTACCAAGTTCCATTGCTCTTCCAGTTACCCATAAAAATAAAAGACCCTCGTCTTGAAGGGCAGGTATACCCAGCTGCCTCATTTCATCATCTGACATAGTACCATATGGTAATTCCATGTGGATATCCCATGGAGGATCAGCCATTATGACAGCAAATTTACCCAATACAGTCATATCAAGATAACGTAAATCGCACTGTATCCATTGTGGAGGATAAAGGGTCAGTTCACTGCCTAGAGATCCACTAGTAGTTGGACAAGTGACACCACTACCATTTTTACTATCTAATGTTAAAGCTTTATTTATTGTTGTATTATTTGTATTATCTGCATCATTTGGTTCCTTAGGCTGAGTCGTTGGTCCATCTACTTCATAATGGACATACCTGTGTAATAAAAAAATTTGAATAAGTAAGACAGTGAGACAAGATCTTTTGAATTTCATAAATATGCTTATAATACATACTTGCATGTATCCATGTGGAAGCAGGTATTGAGAAAACTGCAGTCACCTAAAGATTCATCTGTGTGACTTTGAATGATTTTCTTGAAGTGAAGCTTTTTACACTTTTCTGCAAATCCTGGCCCACCGTTTAATTTAACACAATCTACTCTTGTACCATGAGGACAGAATTCCATGACTTGAGCTCCTCCTTGAGATCGAAACCGTTCAGCTAATGATTTCTCCTTAGATGTTTGCTTTGATAATAAATCTAAAATTTGCTCTCCAACCTTTTTATTTTCCTTTTCCCTAATTGTGGGCATTGATATTAGGGACATTATATCCTCTGTATTTTTTTTATCCAATTTGGATTGCTTTTCTGCAGGCGCATAATCATTCAATTCAGATGCAGATGTTTCTGCACTTTCCGGATTCTCTGTATCATCTGATTGAGACTGATACGACGATTGGGATTCTGTCACAGATAATACTGTATACCCAAAGACACCATTTTCTGTTACTTCTTTGATTCTGAAAAGGCATGAAATTACTTCAATGCATATGAAGCACAGGTGCACAGAATGATGCAGAAACTTACTAACTTAACGATATCTTGAGCTGCCAATTTCTCTAAAATTTTGTGGATGTCTGGGGAAGACACATCTGCATTTAGATTTTTACGAAGTTGATCTATTAATTCTGCAGATGTGATAGGTAAATTAGGCAACGATTCATGAAGAATACACAAAACATCTCTTTCATATTCACTGTGATCTGCTCGTTGTGCATGTCCAATTGAATCTACAATAATTTAAATTGTTTCTTATAAATACGAAATTATAATGTAATGTATTATAGAGAAAATTGAAATACCAAAGAGTTTATTTACCACTGGCAAGAGATGATTCATTTGTCAAGGTGGATGATACCGGTGTTGCAGAAGTGAGAGTAAATAATTCATGTCTTTCACGTTTTCTTTTCTGTAGTTTCTCCCGTAAACTGTTCCTCTTTATTTTTATAGCTTGAATTTCCTCGAAGGCGTCTGACATGTCTTTTCAAAAGAATATTTAAATGCAAATATTGTAAATAAATATACGGAAAATATACTGTGGGTAAAGAAGGTATTCACACACAATATAACGTTATGTTATAAATTACGTATGTTAGACTGATCTGTAAAAGTTTTGTTCTTCTTTTGTTGAAATACAATTTAATATATATAATTTTTAAGTTACTCTTATACTAAAAGCAATATTGATAATTCGACGCAAGAAACAATAGTGTATGTATACTTTCCTTTTCCACTGTAGGAACAGAATTTTAACATAAGGATACAGAAAAGATTAGCCAACAAAGAATAATTTTATTCTTGTTATGATGGAAAATTAAATTATTTTCTACCTTGCGACACCAGTCAAAGTAATCTAAACTGCTTATAAATGCATATGTTCCGTCAAAAGTACACATACAAGCCACACAAACGACTGTGTAATGGAGGTGGAGGTACTAACCTGATCACATCTAGCTTTACCTAAGAAAGTATAAAACACATGGCTGATTCTCTGATATATTCGCTGTGGTGTAGTCAAGTGTTTTTACTGTACTGTTATTAATGATAATAATTGTGGTGGATACTTTACGGTGGGTAGAAAAATGTCAAATACAAAGGAATTCTTTCTTTCTGTTATACAACGTATTTTTAGCAATTGGACTGCATTGAAGGTGAGAATATTCTACAGTTTCCTTGAAGGTTATAAATGTCAGTTTTATTTATTGTATTTCTTGTTACATTTTTATTAGATGGCAGTAGAGCATGGGATGGGACCAAAGGAAAAAGCAATAGATTTCTGTCCTTATATGGCAGAAGTTATGTATATGAATGGTTAGTATTATAATCTTTGAGACATGAAAATTCCTTTATAAAGTATTTGACCAAACTGTACAAGTATGTGCTATTATCTGTATTTGATATTTAGTAGACCACATTCAATGAACAATCAATATTTCATTTTAATCGATTTTAGTAACAAGCAATACATTGGTATAATTTGATCAAATATTATAATATACTTTATTGTTCTTAAAATAATTCTTTAATTGTCTTTACATAATAATTCTTTAGAGAATCTGAACAGTGGTGAAATTGCTGATGAATTAGAGGATTATATGGATGCACATTTTAACACTGAACTACAAGATGACAGTGCTATACAAGTTGCAGAAGTACTTCTGAAGTTTTTCCGTTATTGTGTTGAAAATAATGAAAGCATCGCAATAACAGAGTTTGAGAAGTTACCACCCATTCAATCATGGATTGTTACCAATGAGCCTATGAGAAGGACACAAAATACTTCTGATGTTGAAAGTGATAGTTCGGAAAATGAAGAAAAGGGATCTGAAGATATGCAGGTGATGGATGAGTGGACAGAAGTAAGATCTAGGCGGAAAAGATAATTAATACAGAATTCTTGTATTCTTGTATTTGTTTTATATAAAAGAATATACAAACTATTGTTTTACAGTACATACGCATTGTAAATGCAGTTTATATTCTAAGATTTAGTAACAAAGATACTTATCTAAGCAGTCTTTTAGACACTGTCAAATTTTATTTGGCAGTTCTGTTCCCTGAATCTGAAATAGAGAACATTATTGAAGTGTGTTAGATTCTATTAAATATAATTCTGTAAATACATTGTATTAGTATCTACCTTTCTTATTTTGAGATAAAGGAACAGTACAGTAACCATTGTGTTCTTGTAAAACATTCTCCTTTGTTACTTTAGTTATTCTTTCATCGGGACCTAATAAGCTTAAGATTACTGGCAAGAATAATAGTCCATGAAACAGACCAAACATTACTACACACGTAAATAACTGAAAAAAGAAAGATTATTGTGTAGCTAAAAAGTGAGTAGATAATAAACGAATCTTTTTAATATTACCTTAAAGAAGGTAGAAAATATATAAGCTTCACTGGAACCCAGCAAAACAAATGCTAAGAATGTGCTCAAACCTCCATTGAACACAGCTGGTCCAATTATGGAAAGTGTTGCAATTGAGCGTTCTATAAAATCCATTAAGTACAAAGTAGCATTAAAATTAATTTCTTCTTAAATTAATGAAACACAATTATCATAATATTCACCTTTTTTACTACCCTTTGTGCGAATAAATTCTAGACCAATATGTGCCGCGTAATCAACTGCTAATCCCGCGCACAATAATATCATAATACTTGAAGACATTTCGATAGTCAAATTTAAAAAGTACATGGCACCTAATAAATCAATGAGTGTGAAAAAGACGCAACAAAGGACCCAAAAGGACGTTTTCAAGTCTCTGAGAAATATCACTATCACTACTCCAATGGTAACTATTTCAAGGCACAAGTTTCTAACCAGTTCTTCTCCTATCACCTATAAGACAAATTATCAATTAAGATTACGTTACGATAATGTTAAACCAATAATTTCGTTACCTTGTTGGCCACCCAAGAGACATAATCCGGCGAAAATATGGCAATATGGTCATGTCCCTGAGAGAAATTAGTATCGTGAACAGTTTGTCGTAAAGACTGGATCGCTTGTATTTGTTCTGCAGTTGTATTAAGAAGTACATGTTGTATTGGTATTTGTGACGTCTAAGGAAAGAGTAAGGACTGTATAAATAACTTTATAAGAGACACAACTGATCGTTTAACATTCGTAATAGGTACCGTTATATTATACTCTCCAGCTGGCAAGCTACTAAACTTTATATCCTTAATGTATGCTTGACCTTCCTTAGTCAGGAGTAAGTATTCAGTAAGAACATTATAATATTCTTCACTGCTTTCAATATCACCTAGAGGATCCAATGATAATCACTCGTTAATCCTCAAACATCTCTGGATTGAAATCAATTGAAAGTTACCTTTGTTAGTAGCGTTGAGCCATTTCTCATAGGCAATGAACCACGGTTCAAGGGTGCCGTTATTAATGAACTGATTTGCTTTCAGACCTTCCACTAATCTGAAGAGGGAGTCACGATCCTCATAGTAGTCCACGCCGGTCATATAAATACCGGCGCGCTTCCCATACTTAGGAAAGTATTCCTTTAGCTTGTTGTTGAACTTGATGGGATAGGAATCTTGGTTCAGGTACCAAAGGGGATCGAAGTTTTGGTTCACGTGGAAGATGGCCCACGTGTTGATGCACAGGAGGCCGCCAGTGATCACCAGCACGATCGTCCTCACCGAGTTTTTCACGACCCAGGGCCCGATGTAGTTTTCAAAGAGGATTTGCTGAGTGTTCCTCTGGCTGCACTCGTTCGGCTTCCAATTTAACCTGGGACGACAGAAGCAACCGTCCTTCCTGGCTTCTAATCTCTTCTCGTCGTACACCAGGCAGCTCATGAAGAAGGTCATTTCGTAGATATACAAGAAAAGGATGCCCAGCGTGGCGAACGCGTAGAAGGATCTCAGACACGGCATCACCGTCGTCACGCCGAAGGCGAAAGCGATCACGTTCGTGAAGGAAGTTACCGTGATGGACATGCCTTTAACACGAGGAGCAATCGAAAATTAATTGTTCGCTCCAAAGCTACCCAAGCGATTATGAATTGATTATTCTCTTCTAATCAATGACCCCTTACCCGACTGTTGCATCGCTTTGGCGAATCGAACCGGAAGTTCGAGCGCCTGATCAGTTTCCGACAGATTCGTCAGGCTCTGCATGATCACGAACATGTTATCGACGCCTATACCGAGCAACAGAAACGGTAGAATGGAATGTATCGGCCCGTATGAGTATCCCAAGTAGTAGCACAACCCGTATGAAGATAGGATTGCCTGGCCAATCACAGAGACACCCATTACTGACAAATAAATTCGTTGCTCCAGCGCGTTACATTTACCGATCATCGCCATCACGTAAACTGCGATCAATGATATCCCGCAGCACAGTACTGTCAGATTGCTGTTCAGTATCTGGTGCAGGGTGTCTATGTAACTTCGCGAGGCTATCGCGTAAATCTCCATCCCCGGCGGCAACGTCACGTTCCTCTGGAGTGCGCGGTCTATGAACGCCAACTCCCACTCCTCCGAGTTCGGGTTCGACTTCTTCAGTAACCAATTCAAAATGGTCGCCTTCGCGCCCCGTACCCGGCCCTTCTTGTCGTAGGAAATCCCCGAGAGTAAAGGGCCAACCTCCAGCAACACGTTACTGTTGACCCTGCAAGAATCGTCATCGTTGTAGAACCTTTCACGTTGAGAGCCTCGTTCGATCTTTCACTTATCACATGAACCTTCATCATTTTCACGCGAGAGCCAAGAGTTCATTCAGGCATTCCTCTCAAGGGACCCACCTTTGCTTTAACGCTTTATTGACGTCCTCCAAGATCTCCTTCTTTGTCAGCGTGCGAATATTCTTTGGGAAGCTGGTCTCCCACAGTTGCACGATCGACTGGTAAATGCAACCGTCTTCGAACGCCTCCTTGCCCAGCTGGGCGAGGATGTCCTCGGGAATGTCGAAGTCCTTGAAGATATCCGTGGTGTCATTCTTATTGAACCAGGTCAGGTATCTGGAATCAAATACGTCACTGTCTCGCTAGATCCTTCAGACTCGTAATTTCTTAACACTAGGTTTACGGGCATTTATTGTACAGTTCATTCTATTGTTCCTGGGGAAGTTGATATTCGTTCATTTAGATTTTGAAAATCGTAGATGTAGAAAATCGATTGAAACATTTACTAAATAATGTTTATAAAATTCAATGTGCTTCGAATTGACGCGTTCCGTGAACCTAGCGTTAACAATTTAAAAGCTTTACCCGGCGCACACGTCCTCCCAGGTGCTGTTCTTCACCTTCAACCTCTTCACGTCCTGCTCGATTTTACTGATCTGCGAAGAAGAAGAAGAAGAGAGAGTCTCGATGATTGATCCTGGAGAGCAACGATATTCGGCCCGCGGCGTCCCAGCGCAAGCCAAATGTCTGCCGAGGCTGATTAAAGTGGAAAGAGAAGAACCTTCGCGGAGAACGCGTATAATTCATGATCGCCTATGTACCGAATACAGCACTTCCGGCTCGAAGATGTTGGGGGCGGTCACGATGATGCTCTCGTAGAGGAACTCGTCCCGGAAGTGCGTCTTCACCCAGGCAGCGTCGGTGCGGATGACGGAGTCCTCGGGCACGAATAGCTCGACCTCGTCGATCTCCTCTCGCCAGAGCAGCATCCCGGGCGCGCAGAGGCAGTTCACGCAGAAGGACACCAGCAGCCATAGCCAGGGTCTCTTTCCTATGCTCAATCCAATGCTGAAGAGGAAAATGGCTATTCAAATCGGCGTCAACGTTAAACAAGCTGTAGACAGATTAACTCGCGTTGGAAAGACGTGGCTTGCGCGTCGAGATATTTCTATTGCAAATTTGCCAATGACATTTTATAAACATTGATAGTCTAGTTGCATTAGGCATAGTAGGCTGCTTCGAAATGCATCACGAAATTATTAATAAATCGTGTACATATCCGCTTAAATTAGGTAAGAATGAAAATCTTCGCGCGAGAGTTTGTCGAGCGTATAAATTAAATTCCAACGCAGGAGATTAACACTAAAACTACCAGAGGGGTCAAATGACCCATGATGTCTTCTTTTCGCAATTATTAGAAAGGTAACAAGTGTTTCTCTGAGAAATTATTAAAGAAATTCATTCGGCACTATGCAAATTCAATTGTAAATCAATTAAATTCTGAACAGATGCACTCTTGGAGTTTCTGTAGCGAAATCTTCAAAAGTCAATTGAACTGCTCGGTAGTTTTAGTGTTAAGGGAAAGATGGTGCTACTAGTAAAATATTCATATATTCCTGAGAGAAACAATACCGTCGTTAACGTAATTGGCAATTCTAGGCATAAGTAATGATAAATCGTTTTTTAAATATTCTGAGCGATAGAAAGATGAATACATTATTTTAATAGTAATACAATTAATAATATAGCATGTGTTATGACAGTATTATATTATTTATTATATTGTTAGGTAATAATATTCACGTGGAATATTTTTGAAATTGATTTATCGTTGCTTCTGCATATAGAACGGTGAATTTTCACGTTAACAACGGTATTATTTTACTTAAGAATTAAGGTTTTCGTAGACTTAACCCTTTGACCTCTGTAGGCTCCAATATTGCACCAGTTATAAAATATTTAAATGGATCTTAAAACTACCCTAAAATTATTCGATTTTCCACGCATCCAAGTTTCGTGCTAACAAGGATAATAAAAGATCGAAGAAACGTTACAGCATTTATAATTTTCGCTGGGAATGCTATAAAAATTAGTCGCAGTTACTGATAGATTACAAAACAACCTGTAGTGCTAAGGGTTAAGGCACCGCGTCTAAAGCGTCTAACGGACAGGGCAACCTTGATCGTTGAATGGATCGAAGGAAATTACATCGACGCTGAACAAACGAAAGTTGAGTCACTTGAGAAGCGCTCGTCGTTTCTTTTAACGGTGTCTAGGCGTTAACGCGTCTTCCTGCGCGACAGAACACGCCTGCTTAGCATAATGCGCGAAATATAAATCTCGTCCGAGGACCTCGATCCGATTTTCAAGGTGATTAGGCGTCGCGCGAAATCGTGCCGCCGGCGGGAGAGGGTTCTTCCGAGACGGACGTCTCGGTTCGACAGAAATTCGTCGAATTTAATTGGCCGATAGAAAGGCCAACGACCCCTGAATGAAATAATAAGAAAATGCGGTGGGGGGGATGGCGCCTAAACCGTCCGGCCTTATATAGGCCAATCATAATTCGTGGAACGAAAGAACCACGGTTGATTCGGCTAATTAAGAGGGCCACGATGATCTCACCTTAAGTGGATTAAAGTGACGCGAGGTTTCGAGCAACGAAAAGCGAACGATGGTAATGTCGTTAGGCTCAACGAGATTTAACCCGGTGCTGATTGTCGATTGGCGGCCGGGGCACGTGGAGATTGATCAATGGGAATTATGATTCGACCGATTATCGGCGCGGATCAACCCCTCGCGTTAACGTTTCACTTGTCCCGTATTTTATGCAGAAACTCACGCTCCCTTTCTAAGTCTCCATTAAACTCTCGACTCCGGGATTGCTAGACTTTCTGTTTCAACGTTCAGAAATACCGAACAATTGGAAACTAATAATTTCGACTCCTGATTCCAATTAAGTTTCTATTCTGAAGTAGATATAGACTTGTCTGTAACCATTTCTTATTAATCTCATTGTGCTGTGCTTGAATTTATTTGATAATCAACTGAATATTCATTTTTAGATCCATTTTAATACTAATCACCGGTTTGACGACGTAACGTGAAACATAACATTAGAAAAAGAATGAATCGTTCACAGTCCATTCAAAGAGCATGTTCGATGCACGTTCCTAAGGAAAACAGCACGAGAGAAAAACGATTCTCAAATGTTATCTCGAAAAGGCGGCCTCGCCGCGGCGGCTATTCCCGACAATTAGCCCGAGCGTATGAGATTACCATGAACGGACGTATATTTCAATGCCAATTCTCTCGAGGGAACCTATCATTTAACGCGATCGTCCCGGTGACAATGCAGAAAGCCGAGACACCGCGCTTTCAGCAGAAGTACAACGCGATCGCGCTTAATTCGCTGACATCCGATCTATTTTTTCCTGTCGTCGCGCCGGGAACGATCGCGCCCGAGGATCGATGCCAGCCGCGATTTCGCTCACTTTTCGGATACACCGGCTACAATCGAATCGGAGGATGCCTTCCGTCGTCGAGTCTTCAATGAAAACTCCTCTACGTCCTCCTCCTAACGAGCGAGATCGGTTCTTTGAATAATCCTCGATAATTCTCTGCAGATTCGACGGTGCCACGAAGAACCGAAGGTAACGCCGGTCTTCGAGGATCCTTTTCGCAGGATTAGGAGACCGATCCTGCGCGGTCACTCACCAGTAAAATATACGGTCCGAGTGGAGATGGAAATCGAGCAGAATCTCCTTGAACCGGGTCCACATGGAGTCCCAAGCACCGGTGGATGCGTTTCCTCCTCGTTGCGCTTCCATCGTCGGCGTGCGACGCTCAGGTCGTTCCGCGGCCAAATGTCCACTGGGAGCGTTACTAAGCACACGGCCGGAGTGCGGCAGCATGCATGTGACCAACGGTGGAAGTAATCTGCCACAATTATATAACGTTCGCTCCGGAGGTTCGGTTGCAGGGCCGCCGCAATGCTGATGGCACCGGGAGGATGAGGAGGAGCGTGCTCCGTGGATCACCCCTCCTATTGTCTTCTTCCAGCAGGGTCAATCGGTGCGCGAGTCGGACGATCCGCAGGGCTTTTCGATGCACTCGGTTGCACTCGGAGGAGCCTCGATTTCCTGGAAGGATCTTCGAGGTCGGAGTATCTTAATTACGGTAGTTACACTGTTATTTGGAATACTGGAAGTCTAACAAACAACGAAACTCATTCTTGATTTCTTCTTTTGCAGATATGGGGATACAGGTGCTTTAATGCTTTCTGCTACGGAATCAAAACCCTCATGTACTTGAAACTATTTTTTTAATGGTTGCTTCACTATTTTTCTTATCTTATATATCCAACAAAATTCGGTTTGTTCGATACATCAGAAAAATTTGTCCAAGTTTCTGGAAAAAAATAATGTCAGCCGAATTTGACAGTGTTCGACAGTAAGTTAAAGTATCAATGAAAATTTTATACTCGCGGCTATATAAGTTTATAGGAATTATACTAAACTTATATAGAATTTTGAACTGAAGAAGTTTAGTATAAGTTTAGGAAAAATTAGTTGTAATGCTGATTGCAGACACTTGTTGCAGTTATTCCTATTTTTAGTCGTTGGAATGATGTTATACAACGATGCTTTTTTAATAGTAAAGTTTGTCAGTAATGTATTATTAACAGTATGTTAACTATACATTAGGCGTTTCAAATGTTTGCATTGATACATGTGCTTGTGCTCCTTTACGTCCACCAGTTCAAACTGTCCAGACGCGGTTGCGAGTCAAGCGTTTGCTTTCAGCGTTTATCTGATGCCACAAATAAAACAGACCGGTTTATACAACACGATTATCATAATTCTAGATCGTGCAGTATCTCTGTATGTTCTCCGATGGTAATCATCCGGCGAGAAAAAGAACCGCGTCTAACGTGTCTCTTCGATCGGAAACCTTTCTTTCCTGTTCCTTTTTGCGGACACGGCACTCGATGACGATCTGTTATTTATCGTTTCCTCTCGTGCGATAAAACGCATTTTCGTCACATCGTTAATGTACTTCATTAGATACCAGGTGAGTGCATAATTGTCCATTCCTAATTTCTTTTACAATTACTGAAAGGGTACAGCTGCTTTGAAAAATGATTAAAGACGCCAATTCAGCGATGCCCAATCTGAAATGTAGGCTACTTGAAATTCTAATGAACGCTTGCAGTTTCTATAAAGAAATTTGATGAAGCCATTAAGTACTTAGTAGTTCCAACGTTAAATTGATTTCTTATCTTCGCTTTGATAACGATGATTTAACTCTGCTTCTCTTCTCGTTCGTCTCAAGTCGAGTCTGTAGGATCTGCAAACGAAACCACCGATTTTTCCAAGCAAAAAGTTCAATGTAGAATAGGAGGTAAGTGGAGTAAGCTATATAATATCATCAGTTCAGAGGACTCACTCGACAATGTCATCGCTGGGAGGGACAGATCGAAAGCCAGCGGAAACAAAATGCTTAAAATACCGTTCGATTCACTCTTGTTTCTCGGACAGAAATCTTCCGATGACCACCATATCGCGGTTACGTCGGGACCGTCGATACCTTCTAGCCTGACCCACATACGCCGTTAATTATCACGCTTTTTCGAAGATCGTTAATATCGTCATTTTTATCACGCCGTAAAGTTGCTTGAAGATGAAACGCAGCAGGTTGTTTCTGGTAATTGACCTGGAAATTGTAATTGGGGTTGAGTTAAAGTATGCGTACGAAATGTAACAGAAAAGGAGTGTTATATTAAAATTTAAAATTATCATAATAATATTCACACGACGTAGAATGGAGGCGATACTTCAACGAGAAAGGAGAAACGTCGGACGAAAATTCACGCGTAGATGCGTGATGATGCAACGGCTTGATGCTCGGATGACGTCGCGCCGTGGGTGGGCCGAGGAAATGGCAATCGGCCGAAGGAAAACATCCCATGGGAGACGAGTCATTCATTTCCTCGTAACCGACGTGAGAAGGGCAGGAAGAAGCGTGCTTCTCGCTAGACCCGTCATTATTCCAATCCCACGGTTTGCAGTTCTTTGGAACTCGACTTGTTCACGGACGAACGACCGCGGAAAAAGTGATTCACGCGACGGAATCGCCGAGGAACGGTCAATCTATGCTTTCTCCGACACTTCGGCGATCGAATGCTCTGCCACCGATTCAGGCTTCATCGTTAACCGTCCGAGTGCCACGGGTCTTCGCAAAAACCCGCTGGAAAAGTGGCAAACGACGCGGTTGCGCTTCTTTCGTTTCAGAAACGGAACGACGCTTTTCTGTTTTTAGATGGGAACATTGTACATAGCGCGTTCCGTTGCTCCATTTCTAAACGGGTAATAAAAGAAATATATAATTAACGCGTCGAATGCAGCACGATTTTACTAAATGACGAAAAACGTGTTGGTAGCACATTGAATGTCATGGGGGTCACCGGTGACCCCCAAGCGAATCGAATTACTGTAATTCACTCAATTAAACGATGATTATTCGCAAACACTTTTATATTATAAATAATGCTACCCATTGCGGTGACATTCAGTTTGATGAACGTGAAATGATAATAATCCAATTCAGTCAAATGATTTAATATTTGTTTTTCCATTTTGTGTATTTTGCTCTATGAAATCGTGCGGCGTTCAACGTGTTAGTGACTGTAAAATATTTCTTTGACAATTAAGTCTCACGCAGGTTTCAAGATCGACGTGCAAGGGTTGAAAAGGTTTTGAAAATGTCCCCGCGAATTCCTCGGGGTGATCGAAGGATCGGAATCAGTCACCGGAGCGATTTCGAGCAGGTAACGATCGCGCGGAACCGGCTCCGCGATCCAGGGGAAGGTAGGGAGCACTCGAAGCGAATGCCTTTCTCATCATCCGTGGATCTTCAGTATTCCTGGTTCCAGTCGGACCGATGGACGGTCCTCTCTTCCGTGTCGTTCATCGTTGATTCGTGCACGTTAAATCGCGATTAAATCGCGTGCTGGACATCGGTGCTCGATCCACTTCAGGGAAGACACCTGGAAGTGAGTAAACTAGACCAGTTCTCCAATCTCTGAAACCATAAATGCGTTCGTTGACAGTAGGCTCATGGAACATGATAATTTGAGGCACGTTGAATTTCATAAACATTGATTGGTGAATGATAATTCATAATAGCATGGTTGCAAATATAAATTCTCCAATTTCTAAAGTCATAAACGCGTTCGTTGACACTAGGTTCAAGGAACATGTTAATTTGACGCACGTTGAATTTTATAAATATTAATTAGCGAATGGTAATTGATAATGACGTGGTTATAGATATAAATTGGTAAATTATTTTACGAACGAGTCAATAATTATACTAGTTCTCCAATTTCTAAAGCCATAAATGCGTTCGTTGACACTAAGTTCAAGGAACATGTTAATTTGACTCACGTTGAATTTTATAAACGTTAATTAGCGAATGGTAATCGATGACGACATGGCTATAGATATAAACTAGTAAATTATTTGACAAAAGAGTCAATAATTAGACTAGTTCTCTAATCTCTAACACCATAAATACGTTCGTTGATACTAGACACATGGAACATGTTAATTTGATTCACGTTGAATTTTATAAATGTTAATTAGCGAATGGTAATCGATAGCGACACGGTTATAAACATAAATGATAACACGCATGCACAATGCAAATGCACCACCGTGTCTCCTAGTTGCCTACTTTTGAATCCTAAATTTCTAAATGCACTTAACATCGTGTTTTCCATGGCCAACAGGATAAACTGTATAATAGACGCCAGTAAACCTGGTATCGAAGCGCCGCGATCTAATCAGATTAACGCCGTGCATCTAAGAGCTCGCTCTCCCGTAATGATTAGAGTAACTCGCGTTTATTATTGTTCCGAGTTTTATTGCACGCTAATCGTGTTGCCGATAAACCGCCGTCGATGTTCCGGAGACCGGCGCGCGCTGGCCCGGTTCTAGAAAATTCAACCGAGTCGAGTAGGAAGCGGCAATTAAATCTCCATTCCGTCTCGGTGTCGCTATTTTTTCTTTTTTCTTCCTCGGGATTTATGCATTCGTTACACGCCGCCACGGTGTTGTTGTTTGGTAATTGCCGCTCCTGTTTCCTTCCTTCTTTCTTTCCTCGGCTGTTCCGATGAACGATCATCCGGCCGCGCCGAACCCATCGCCGGAACGCGAGGCATTTGAATGGCTATCTAGCCGGGATCTCGCAGAGAGATTTCGATTCGAAAATCGCGAACGGTGTCGCAACGTACCGGTGACTGGCGGAAACCGAAACGTTTTTCGAATTTCGGCCGATCGTTGAATTGGTAATGGATTAACGGGTTTTAGAAAGTCTCCTCTTCGATGGGCCACATCCGCCGGGCGGCTCTTTGTCAACGGTTTTACGCGAATCGGTGAAATGCTCGTATCTGGAACGTGAAAGACTGTTGAAGTTCGTTATACGATGATAATGAAGGATGATTAACAACGCAGATGGAGAAGCGGACCTCGAACAACTTTTAAACTGATTTCACGCTAGACTTATGGACGTTCACTGTACGGTTTGCTCTATCGTTCTCAGGAAAATTGATACTTCGATCGTGGAAATTAACACTAGAACTACATTCCAGATTTCTCGTGATTGTTAAACAAGTAACAGATGCTTCTCTGGGAGCTATTAAACAAATTGATTTGGCAATATGCAGATTGAGTCATGAATCAATTCTCAATAGATGCACTCTTCAAGTTTCTACAGAGAAGTTTCATAAAGTATTTCGGTAGTTCTAACGTTAGATTTAAAAGTAGACATCAAAATCGGTGCGAACACTGTTTATAAAATTCGATATGAATCAGATTTCCTCGTTCCATGAATCCAGCGTTGTATCCAAAGCTTGGATAGCTTTGAACATCTATTAAACGAAATATTTGAATTGCCGAAAAGAACACGTGGTTCTTCAATTTACTTTTGGATTCGCGTCATGTATGTCTGAAATGTCGCGAGAATGAGGGGCCATCGTTTAAGCGATCTAAAGATCCCACAATTACGCGGGAGCAATTTGCAACGCTTTAAATCGATTGAAATCCATTTTGAAATTGATCTAAGTCGACCTCTGCGAAAGTCGTGGGCGGTTCCGCGTGTTTCTCCATGAATTTGCATACCAACGAGAAACCGACAAGAATGTTTCTATTCACGGTGGCCCTGAACTCGCGCTCGATGAGTATCGCGCACGTGGGCCGAGTTTTAAACAGATCCACTCTCTCCGGACGACTTTTTCCAGCCTTTTAATGGCTCCGATACTTTTCTCCTCGACGTTTCGTCGAATTACGTGCTTCCAAAGAATTCCGAAGGACTTTCGACTGGAAATGCGCGTGGTTCTTTGGTCTATTCGAGAAAGAGCCAATGAATCGAGCTGCTATTACCGCTAATGATCAGAACATTTTCTCCTCTTCACTTACTTTCTTACATCGAACGCGCATTGTGATTTCCAACGAGTTTCCAAACGTAGGTACGTGTAATCGGCTTACTATATTATTTAACAGAACTAGCTAGCAGTAAAATCGACTTCTAATTAGTTTATATTCTAATTTGGCTATAACTGAATCGATATATTCAATAATTCCTTAGATATCCAATCATTTCCAAAGAAGTGGATCATTTTGACTCAACTAATTAGTTTCAATAATTCCTTAGATATCCAATCATTTCCACAGAAATGGATCATTTTGACTCAACTAATCATTTTATGTTCCAACTTGGCTGTAACTGAATCAATATATTCAATAATTCCTTAGATATCCAATCATTTTCAAAGAAACGGATCATTTTAACTCAACTAATTAGTTTATATTCCAACTTGGCTGTAACTAAATCAATATATTCAATAATTCCTCATATATCCAATCATTTCCAAAGAAATGGATCATTTTGACTTTCAATACTCGTAACTCTATAATCTACAATATTAATTATACTCGTTATCAGAAAACAAAGGAAACCCAAAAATTCCCGTAGCCAATTGATAAGAACACGAGTCGTGTAAAGCGGTTCAATGCACTTCTCCTAGCGCATCGTTCCATAATTCCGCGCATCGCTTTACCCGCGACGAGAAACGCAAATGGCAGAATGATTTATTTATAATCTTCTGCGAAAGATGCACAGCAGCGTGGCCGGTATCCGCAACAATGGAATATTCTTACGGTCCTCTCCCGTCGCGTATCCGGGAGGAAACGACCCGAATGCACCGGCGCGGCGACCAGCGCCTTTTTCTATTGGGGGACCATTGATGGAGTTTCCGTGTTAGTGTAACTGCGTTCACCTTGACCGAAGAAAGTGTTACGCGGCTCTTCGAGCGACGCCTCTCGATTCATGGGTACACTGACCGGCGCACACCGCGTTTACGACCAGATATTCAAAGGCCTTTTGCATACCGTGCATTGGATTCGAAGTAGTTCGTATTTTCTTTTTTCCTAGGCTGCTAGTAATTTACCGTCCTTCCAAGCAGGTGCAATAATTATTCAGGGATAGATGAGGCAGGAGAATTTATCAGCAGAATGTAGATAAATTGTAGATGAATTATAGATGAAACATATCCAGGTGTGTCCTCGCTGTCTATCGAAATAAAAAGTATCAAAGTATGTGTGTCAAGAATTAACACTAGAACTACCGAGCATTTAATACGATTAATATGCAATTGATCAAGTTATCGATTACCTACTGTATTTCTCGTTTTATCATCTCGTAAGCTATTTTTGAAACAGATTTTAATTGATCAACTCGACCTTAGCACTAGAACTATCGCGGATTCAAAACGATTGATATGCAATTCCTATAAAAATTGTAACAATAGATTATTTCCAGTTTCTTCAGACATTCATTATAGTACTCTAGTGAAACTATTTATTTTCATTTCGAATATTCATTGCTTCGAAGATATCAACAATTGCTAAACAAAACAATCGAAACCAGTCATATCGTACGGTAGTTCTAGTGTTAAACACCAAGTATTACATATCGAAAGCTACCTTAGCTTTCTCCAGTAATCTCAGACCTCGTGATCCAAACCTAAAAGAGCGTCCCTAGGACAATTTCGATCCAGTGTCCGATTACCCGCGTCGCATCATTCAAGAACCCTCAACCTCCTGGCACACTGACTTCCCTTCCGAAGTCCCTCTTCAAGAACCGCCGGCCAATGTCGTCCGGCGATGCTAATGAGTCGGTAAACTTAGCTCTGGCCACGCTCCTGCATAGCCACGCTTCCGTTCCCCACCCAGTCGACGGCCGATGTAAGTGGAACGATGCAAGAAATGCGTCGAGGCGTAGCTCTGGCCGCTCGAGAGTCGTTCTAATTATGAGAATCATCCGCGAAATAGCAATTAACGCAGCCAGCGTCCACTCAGTTCCACGTGAAACTCGGCCCCGAGTTCTCCCGATGCTGCGCGCGTAGGCAAATATTAGCTCGCCGGACTTTCTACGGCTCGTTCAACCCAATTCCGCGTGTAAACAAAAACCTCGGAGGTGTGACCGTGCCTGTACCGTTGCTTCCAGAGCCATGAGGCCCGCGACGGCGTTGCTGCTCCTCGCGGTGGGGTTGTCGAACGGTCAATTGAACTTCGAGGGTAACCCGCTGACGGAGAACACCGAGTACACCGCCGAGGAGTCGCGTTTTTCCCAGAGAACCGCAAGGCAGCAAGAAACCGCGTCGAACCTGACGACGATCGTTCCGGAGCTCCGCTCGCAGAAGCTGTACCCGATCCTCGATGCGAAGAACGCGTCGACGAACCTGGAAGCAAAAAGTCCCATCACCGACTATTCGAGCGGTCAGACCGACCTAGAGTACCCGTGGCAGCCGCAGACCATCACCGATCAGCCGGAGGTGGTTCAAACGTCTCGCCAACTGTCCTCCAGCGCGTACAATCACGGAAGCGACACTGCCAGCCCGGTGCAGGCGGCCTTGAACACGTTCCTGAACTCCAAGACTCCGGAGGAGTCTCGCCTGTCCTTGGACAGCTACCTGCAGAACGCGGTGGCTCCTCAGAGCGGCCTCTCCCAGGAGGAACCCGGCCAGCAAACGGTGCCGCCGGCGAGTCAGCAGCAATTAGCGCGGCAGACGTTGCCGATGGCTTCCCAGGTTAATCAGCAACCCGCCGGGCTGTCTTCTCCGGTTAATCAACACCTGACGGCGCAACTTATGCAACAACGCCAGTCGCTGTACGGGTTTCCCGTTAGCCAGAGGCAGCAGTTCAACGACGCGGTCTACAATGGCCTGCCTGCGAACTCGCAGGATCCTCGTTCACCTGTCGCGGTTGGCACACCTCTGCCGCAACCGGCTCTGCAGATGCCTTATCCGCAGATACAGCCGCGGAACGATATCTTCTATCCGCCCGGCTGGCACCAACGCGTGAGAAGAATACACGGCAGGCCTTTCCCCTACGTCCAGTCCAGGGGAGGACCCGGGTTCTACAATGGGCCGGCTCCAGGTGAGGTTCCTACCTGTCGCGTCGAGAGCGTCTTCTGCAGCCGGTAGGAAGCTGCGTGTTTCGTAAGCGGGTTCAATGAATCGCGCTAACGAACGTGAGAGGCTGAGAAGCATTATACAATGATGATATCACGCGATCTCCGCGGATCTAGTTGCAGCGTGATTTGTTAATCCTGGAACTCTTGAGAGATTCGCGCCTCGGAATGTCTTTCACAGGTGATTAGGGTTTCCGTAGCAGTAATTATCGGCAGTTTCTGTAAGATCACCTCTCGTTTATTACCCTGTAGAGACACCGAAAGTGAAATGCCGATAGTCGACTTGTCAACTTTCTCGTTTAATAGTTACCTTGGAAGCCGTAAACGAAGCTCTGTTCCTCAGAATAGTACTTAACTCCTGAGTTAGGATTCTCAGGATCGATAACCAGTTCACTAATAGTTGATCGTTGCCACCCCAGGTCCGTTCAAGCCGAAGGTCCCTCCAGTGGAGGTGATCTACACGAAGCCACCAGGCTACAGCCACGGTCCGCCAGCTTTGAGCAACCCTCCGGTGCCCTACGAGGACGCCAGCGCGTTCTTCCCCGAGGCTGATCATCCCCCGAACACCAAGGACGTCTACTACTCTCAGCTGTACGCCCAGTCGTACGACCCCTACTATTACAACTACATAGCGAAGACCGGTAAGATCAAGCCGCACCTTTACGGGAAGTTGGGTAAGTACGAGAACGAAGGCGGGGGCATCTGGAACGAGCTGTACCGGGGGTTCAAGCAGCACGGCTTGAAGAACATCATGACTCCGACGTTCCTGCTGGGGATGACGCTGCCGGTGGTGACGCTGATGCTCACCGCGCTCGTCCAGAAGAGGTCCTTCTCGTCCAGATCGGACTCGAGGGAGTTCTCCAGGGAGGAGACCATCCAGGAGTACCTGGAGCAGCTGCAGAGGGCCGTCGAGTGCTACGAGAAGAGGAGGAAAAAGAGGGACGCCAGCTACGACGGATGCTGAAACACTCGATGTTAATTTATCGTGCGACGGATGACTCTTCGGGGTCGTGAACGATCAGAGTGCGCGAGAGACACACCTGGAGAGCTCGGCGAGTTCCGGCGGTATCGGGTGTTGTACATATTGCGTGTAACGATAACGTCGCGTCCGTGGGATCCCGCGATTAGTGCCTTTTCATTCGGACGGATATCATGCAGTGGCTTGTCGCGTGTGACAAATGAATCGTTGTACACGCGGTAAACACACACCGGCCGCGAGCCGTCGTCCATGGGAGAAGGCGACAGTGAAATGTTTCTACGTGCGGAGCCAACGTTCGCGGGTCAATTATCTATGACCCTGTTCACGTCCACGTGCCGACGGGTGAACAGTCCTTACACCGCGAGCTTCAATTCACGGCGGCACTGATGCGACACGCTTTCCTTCGTGGTACTCTTACTTTTTACTATACACCGCCCTCCGGCGAAGAACCGTTGGATGCAGAGGGTGCTTGAGTTAACCCTTTGCACTCGGATGTCTTACTAGAAATATTTAATATTTCTTTATGAGGCGAAGATGTTTGGAGACTAATTCGAAGGGAAATCGCCGGTACATTGAACAAAGCTATTCCAATGTTTCACGTATCGAGGCATTGTACAAAGTTTAACATTAAGTATCACATTCTATAGTTTTACTGTGTCAAATCAAGTGACTTAGTCACCTCTCGAGTGTAAAGGGTTAACAGAAATAGGTAATTCGGTCTTTGTCAATTCCTTGAACGCACTTTGCCAGTAGTGCAAATGATGTAGAAACAGTGAACTAAAAAATGAAATGCACACGAGATGCGTGAGATGCACGTTCCTTCGTCTCTTCCTCCTTTCCGCTGGTAATGTAGCATGGATAACGGTCTTAATTTCAAGCAATGTTTTGATTGCGCAAACACACGGGAAAACGATGATCAGCCGGGGACTAGCGGTGTTCGACCTAGATCCGCGCGTTTTGTATGTACCGACGAGCCCTGAATTCCAAATTAGAAATGACATCCGCGATTCGCTGCAACGCGGCCCGTGCATCATGACACAGAAATGGATAACCGGTTTAGGCTTACGTAGCGTCAGTGATTTCAGTCGTTGGGCCTGATTAATAACACCGCAACCTGTTTGAGAAACTGGCGCCGTTCCCATTATCGACATTTCGGGGCGATCCACATACCGTAATTTCACCTGTTGTCATTTTTCTAACGTAAATGGTACATCTAGTAACACGCTGCTGCGAACTGGATGCGATTATACTTGTTCTCTTATTTAATGGAAAGTAGCGAAGATTCCTGAGGATTAAACAACTTAACGCGTTGAGTGCCACTGTACCATTCCTGGTAAGTACCAAATTTTGTGAGAAAATATTTGGAGCTAGATAGTGTTACAAAGCAGTGAAAATATAAAGATAAATATATGAAAGCTACCAGAAATTCGAATGCTACTTAATATTTCATTTTGAAAGAATTGAAATATTAAGTTGCATTCTTATTTCCAATTCTTTCAAAATGAAATAGTAAGTTGTATTCTTAATTCTAATTCTTTCAAAATGGAATATGAAGTTGTATTCTTAATTCTAATTCTTTCAAAATGAAATATTAAGTAGCATTCGAATTTTGAAAGAATTGGAATTAAGAATACAACTTAATATTTCATTTTGAAAGAATTAGAATTAAGAATACAACTTAATATTTCATTTTGAAAGAATTAGAATTAAGAATATAACTTAATATTCCATTTTGAAAGAATTAGAATTAAGAATGCAACTTAATATTTCATTTTGAAAGAATTGGAATTAAGAATACAACTTAATATTTCATTTTGAAAGAATTGGAATTAAGAATGCAACTTAATATTTCATTTTGAAAGAATTAGCACACTTCAACAGCGAAGCATAAGTGAAATTCCCGATGGCACAGAACGCGTTAAATAAAAACAGCCCGTCAACAGGCGGCGCGTTGGAAAATCCGTTGAAACGTCTAATTAAAATCGAACTGCGATCTGGGACACGCGTCTCCTGCGCTTCAAATTATCCTTGCCCGGTGACGTAACGTTCAAGAACACGATGTTGATTAGCGCCGCGGCGATAAGGTCAATTACGATAACCTGGCCATTAATGAGCCCATCGTGCGGCAAGCGTGACGGTTCACGTGCGACCAAGCCGGCCGTTTTAGGCTCGGCCGAGTAACCGCCGCCGGAAAAATCCGAAATCTCGGCCGAGATTTCTTGCCGGCCGGAAACGATGCTCGGCCGATCGTGTACGGGATCGGCCTACTTTATTTTATATTCGTCAGCTGTAAATCAATCGATCGTTACTCCTATTTTTAGATCCCCTTATGACCGAGAAAAATATGGCAGTGTTTCTTGGCGCAGGAACCGGTCTCCGCGAGGGACGACTTGCACTTCGGGCCACACCAGAAGTCCGCGAGATTCTCCTTTCACCCGTGCCTGGAAATTTCGTTTCTCATTAGACTCGATTCGACCTTTCATAGTCCTCCGATCTATTCGGTCGAAGATATCAATTAAAAATCGTATCGATCTTGGACTCTCTACGATGCACAACGGTGTCGGGCAGTAGAATTGAAAGAGTTTACTTGACAAATTTACTAATACCTTCTACGTGGAAGATAAGACTCAATGGAAATGAAGATTAGCTAATTAACGCGTTGAATACACGATTTCATAGAGCAAAATATTAAATCATTCGATTGAATTGCATTATCATTGTATGTTCATTTAGCTGAATGGCAGCATTATTTATAATATATAAATCTTTTCAAATAATCATAGTTTAACTGAGTGAACTATAGTAATCACGGTTGAGGGTCACCGGTGACCCACGGCATTCGACGTGTCAAGAATTAATAGAATTATTACGCGAGTATAGGATAATATAACATCTTGATGACGCCACCGAGTTTCTACTAAACAGTGTTTTATACGTAAAACCCTGTTTCTAAAGAAGCTGCACGTGGGAAGAATACGTATTCCCAGTGAAACCGTGCGACCCGTCCCAGATCGAGGGCCGAACAAGTGAAACTACAACGGGGAATATGAAACAGATGATCGTCAATGAGGGGATTTAAAAGAAAGACGCCGACGAATCAATCTTTTGATCCCAATCAGAACTGGAAACTTGCCGGGAGCGGCGAGGTGACATTCAAGCGTCCCCCATGAATTGAATTAAGCAACAAGTACCTTTTGAATCGGCGAGGAACGATTAAGCGAAACGGAAAGAATCCACGGACTGAATGGAAATATAAATTCATTCCTGACAGGCACACCGGCCAGCTGATTATAATTGAATTATCCGATCGAACGATTGACGGCTTGATTCGCGGGGTCATGGGACCCAGACGCTGCGCGCGGTCCGCCCTAACAAGGAGCGGTTATTAGTTTCAACTCAGCCTCTTGCGGGTCATTAAAACGTCTAAGGTAACGTCTGCTCTGCTCGCGTTTCTCTTCGTTCGCCGATTCATCGGCACCGAGAGCTTCGGGATAGGGGATGACGCCGAAGAACACGTACAGGAGGGTTGCGGCGGGATTCTCTCTGAAACGTTCACGCACGGTTAAATGGAACAACGGCGGTCGTTAGCGAAAAATATATCGTGTATTTCGTTGCTTCTAGTTTCTACAAATACAACTTGCTACGACAGGCAGAGGGGGCCGAGAAATCAAGCGCAACGCGTGTTCTTGGCCGGCGCCTTTTGCTACCACTCCTCGCTTCGTCGTTGAAAAGAAATTGAGTTATAGAAAGATTCAACGCTTGCACAGCTTTCGAGGCTTTCGGAACGTTCACGATCGTTCAGCCTCGATAGAACTGTATTTTCAACGTTCGAATATTTGAAGAAACTAAATACCTAGCGAGACTTTGTCTTTACAATATGAACCGCAAATCGGTCAACTCCACTCTTTCAAGTTTCATCGTCAAACTATGTAACTGACTTTAGCTTAGGAAATCAGATAAATTTCTTTGATAGAAGCTGCAATGATAAAGATCGCTTGAAGTATATACTATCTTATGGGTTTTAAGTATACTTTCATTTAAAGAGAAATGTTCAAAATCAATGTATATTGTTGCAAGTTTCACTACTTTTCATTCTGCGGTGTTGGCTGATCAGCGGCTCATACAGCGGAATAAGAAACGATCGTCTCGTTTGCAAGACGAGCAAAATTCTTGTCCACCTATGCTGGTTTCCTCTTCGTCATTGAATTTTGCCCATCCGTGACCACGCGTGCTGCGAATGATACGCGCGCCGTTCAACTAGACTAGACTATGTATACAGATTCGCTTTGGAACGCTGATACAACGGTTCCGAGTCTTTCGTACGCGTCTTCTCCGCTGATATGTGCGTGCCGTTGAACTGAAATTGATTAGAGTTCGGTAACATCTTTCGGCAACGATGATATTTCCAACGATCGCTCACGGGAAGCGTTCAGAGGATGTAGAAAGAGACAAAGCGAAGGAAATACCTTGGCGCGGCCTGTGGTTTTCATAGAGGACACAGGCGGAGGAGTGGAGGATCAAATGAACGAGCGGTACAGTTTACTAAAATAGATTCTAATTTGCTCCATAAAAGTCACAGGTACTCTACGGACAAGACTCCTACAAAATAATTTCTTGTACCTAAAAAAACAATATATAATACATATAATGTATGTGTGTGTGTGTATGTGTGTACAATATTACGTATTGCTTTCAACCTCGCAACACTTCTACACGTGTATAAGTAACTGCATGTAATTGCCCTTCGTTATTCACGACGTTACTAGTTTCACAGAGCCGCTCCCCTTTACAATGCTGCTGCAGCAACCCTGTTTCTTGAAGAACGATCTCTCTCTCTCTTACAGTTGACCCTATTTCAAGTTCCTGAAAACTGTGTCGTCGTTGCTATCCAACTCATTCTATACGTCAAAGTACAGACTTTAATACTTCTGTAATATTGCCAACTAATTAATGAACTACATATGGTAGCTCAGATAATATAGAAGAACTTATAATAATGTATAAGTAGCTAGAATGGTTGGAAAGTATCTGAACGAATACCGAAGGACTCAGTTCAGAGTCATGAACCTCGAATAGCGTCAACTGTAGCCTCTTCCTTTCTCTTTAGTTCTTGTTAAAACTAAAACGAGTCATGGACTAGCTCTGTAAGCGGTCGTCAATTTGATTCTATTTGTGGTGGTCAGTCTTCGTCTCGGCGGACATTTGGATAAGTTTTGTGTGCATCTGCGGATATTGCCAGCCAGGTCGCGCGGCTGGATCAAGCGTCGCCTATGTGCGTATTCAATTTTGGTTACGGTTTTGTTTGATGCGCAACCGGCGGAATAATTGCCTCGCTACTTTCTCGGCGATGATGAACCCCTTCCGTTCGGCTCGTTGTAGATTCATTCGATGCCGGTGTTCCGTTTGCGAGCACAAAGAAAGCTTCTGTGGCTGACCGTTTGCGGTTCCACACCTTCCACGTCGACAGGTGTTCCGTGATCGCTGGCAGCAGTGGAAATTGTCTTCTGGGACTAGATGAGGTTTAATATACAAAGCTGTATTCGGCAACGAACGCTAAAAACAATGGATCGTAATCGCGTGTACATAGTTAGATACCGATGGAATCTGAAAAGGTCGAATCCACGGGGTGATACCAATTTAGTCAATGGTATTGG